CCCAGAAGCTCATGTGTTGAAGGTGTGGTCCCCAATGCATCCACGTTCTGAGGTGGGGCTTCTGGGTAGTGATTGGCTCCTGAGGGCTCTGACCTCACCAGTGGGTTAACAATCTGATGGCATTATTGAGAGGAAAACATTGTAAACTTTTGGAGGTGGGACCTAGCTGAAGGAGCAGGTCCTTGGCAGCATGCCCTTGGGGACAGTGCCTGTCCCTGGACCCTTCTTCTCCGTCTCTGTTCCTGGCTGCCATGGGTAGGGAGCTTCTGCCATGATGGTCAGCTCAGACAGAGTCATGGAGCTCCCGGCCTTGAACTGAATCCTCTGAAGCTGTGGCCCAAATAAATCTTTCTTCCTCTTAAGTTGCTTCTGGTTGGTGTTTGGGCCACAGTAACAGAGAGCTAACACACGTGTCCATGTCTGTGTCCACATCCAGAGCCATCCCTTTGCCCGTTCCAGCTGAGGTCGACTGTCACCTCCAAACTCACAGTGCAGTGGGTGTGTGGGCTCATGGTGACCCTCTTCTGTGTCACAAGGACCCATCAAGATATTTGTATCTGGATCCATTGGATGTCCAATGAATAGGACTGGGAGGCAAAGGAAGGAGCAGGTGATAGTTTCATTAGCAAGAATTAAGGGTGTTAGGGATGTGCTTGTGGAGAGGTGTTGATCAACACTCCCGTTGTTTGAAAACATGGATTTGCTAAATTGAAAGACAAGCTGGCCAAAAACTTCAGCTTGGAGCTCTCTGTGGCCACTGTCTCTTATCGTGAGCTTGGCTGACGAAGTCGGTCAGATGTGAGACGTGGGGTAGGAACTCCTTAGGTTATTTCATGAGGAGGACTGACCATGGTACCTTAAGAGAGTCAAATTTCTGATAAATTGGTTTATTAATAACTTCCATAAAAACAAATGAGTTTAATTGCTTCAACTTAGGAAGTGGTAATTTGAAGGAGTAAGATCTCACACATCTGCACTAATTTATTTCTGCTCTATGAATTAAGAGCAAAAAGCAACTAACCTGATAATCCCTTGGCAGACTAATAAATGAGAAACAGATTTTTTTAAATGGGAAATTGATATAATTAGAAAGGTATTAACTTTTTCCCCTACTCCAGCATCATGGAATAAGTGAGCCACAGGGGACCTATCCTTCAAAATAATTAAATTCCAAAGATGTTTTCTGGTTTAAGAACTATCTGATTTTTCTAAGTTGCAGTATCAAACAGTGTGTATTTGGAGATCTCTCTGTGTGTGTGTGTGTGTGTGTGTGTGTGTGTGTGTGTGTGGTGTGTTTGTTTGTTCTTGCCCCTCTGTGTTTGGGGAGCTCCAGCATTGTGCAGCCAGGTCCTGCTATGTGCTGAGCCCGGTGCTACTGCTGTGTGGGGTATCTGGTCTGCACACCGCAGTGGGGTAGCCAGTGGCCACCACCTTCAACAGTGGAAAAACTAAGGCACTGAGAGTTGAGGCTGACTATAGGCTCTTAGTATGAACCCATGCTCTTAGGTTCTTTAGTCTTCTACTCTGATGGATAAAGACCTAATAAATGGTGAGCACACTGAAAGGGAGAATTGGGTTAAATCTCTGGCAGCACAAGCCAGGCCTGTTGAGGGAGGTGGAAGGGAGTGGCCTGTGGCATCCTGGATTGAATCTCAGGTCACCCACTGAGAAAGCTGCCTTGAGCACCAACCAGGATCTGGG